GCCAGGTAGTCAGATGGTGGTTCAATCACAGTTCATGCCAGCCGCTGATCTACATGTGATACATCTGAAACAAGTCGTACCCGAAGAAATATTGCTGGAGCCGCCTTACTTGGGTGCGGATCTATATCCGAAAGCAAAGTGAGTTGTGTGATGTGTTACTTTTGGAGTGAGATTTGATTATCTTTGTTAGACTTGCATGGTACCGGAAGAAGAGAGTGATAATTTTGATGGGCGTGTTATTACTTTTTGCAATTACAGGGATCGTTGTTGGATCTGTCTTGGGAACAAGGTCTCGTAAGAACACGACAGGTATAAAATTATTTCATGCATTAGAAGGGATCATACTCGCCCGCTCCCAAGGAATTTTGTACGCATTAAAATTGTTTTAGGGGTGGTCGATACTCTGATCAGATGGGACGAGAGAAATTGGGCTTATTCATGCGATTTTCCTGGCAATAACCTTGCAAATGTCTCAAGCTCACCGCCGTCATGTGGACCAAAGTGCAACACGATGCCAAATTGTACTCATTTTACATGGAGCAACTACAATACTGGCACATGTTTCTTGAAATATGGCAATGTGACAAAACAGGATGCTGTCTTCAAGAATGATCAGACTATGATCTGTGGTATAGTATAAATTTTGTATTGAATTTGTTCATTTTATCGTTCTAACGTAATAAAAGTTAAACTATTTGTACTATTTTATGATTTAATAAATAGAATTGATTATGTGTTTATTATTCAATAGAAAACAACATGAAAAAATGCGGGTGTGAAGACGTTTTATACAGTAAGTAATATACCACATACCATTGTGGAATCATTTGTACGGAATGCATCGTCTCGTGATACGTTGCCTTTTTTCATAAAACACGTACCACCAGAATACTGACTCCAAGTAAAATGAGTACATAATGGAGTTTTAGAACATAATATACTACAATCTGCTTGTGCGGTTTGATTATTTGAAAGATCATTATTCTGAAAATCGCATGAGACGGCTGTGCTGTTGATATTCCACTGGACAGTTTCATTCAGTAAGACAGCATCATTTGTATACGCCACTCCGCAAACCATATTGGCATCATTCGTAGCAAGTGCGTCGTCTTTTGTTACATTGCCCTGTTTCAAAAAACATGTTCCACCCAGGACTTTACTCCACATAAAATGAGTGCACGGTGGATTAGTCAAACACAATCCACCACAATCTGCTCCTACGCTACGAATAATCAAAAAGCTGTCGTCCGAAAAATCACAAGCATAAGTCCAGTCTCTTCCTTGCCAATCGATAGTTTGATTGAACCTTGTATAATTGCTTAGATATGCTACGCCACAAATCATAGTCGGATCAGTAGTGCGAACTGCGTCTTCTGTCGTTATATTACCAGCTTTCATGAAGCATGTACCGTTGTTCATATCAGTCCAAGTAAAATGCGTACAATTTAAAGTTTCTATACATTTAGGTCCGCAAAGTGATGATTCAGTTGGAACAGCCGCCATGTTTGGAGTATTGAAATCGCATGCAAACGCCCACATACCACCTTTCCAATTGATTGTAGTGTCTATTCAATTAAAGAAATATACCGTAATAAACTTTCTGAAGAACATCGAAAATTGTAATAGTGCAGAAAGGACAAAACTCATACCAGCTCCACTGTTGTTTGATCTTGTTCCTAAAACCGAACCAATAATGATTCCTGCAATGCCAAATATTAATAGTACACCTATTGAAATCAACAGCCTTTTCTTCCGGTACCATGCACGCCTGACAAAGATAATTAAATCTCACTCCAAAAGTAACACATCACACAACTCACTTTGCTTTCGGATATAGATCCGCACCCAGATACGGTGGTTCTAGCAATACTTCTTCGGGTACGACTTGTTTCAGATGTATCACATGTAGATCAGCGGCTGGCATGAACTGTGATTGAACCACCATCTGACTACCTGGT